TATCTATCTATCTATCTATCTATCTATCTATCTATCTATCTATCTATCTATCTATCTATCTATCTATCTACTATATTTATCTATCTATCTATACATTAATATATCTATCGATCTATAAAACTATATATCTATCTTCTGTCCATTTATTAGTCTGTTTGTCTTTCTGTCAGTCTGTCTGTCTGTGGGTAATACACCTGTCTTTTTAAAATTTGTTCCTTTTTTTAGTTTGGTTTTTTTGGGGTTGTCTTTTGAGTATGATTATATCGAGAAAAAAAACAACTTTGAAAGAGAATAGTGTTGCGCTACACACGTCAGGCGTGACTGTACGTTAAACAAGAGGGTCAATTCTCTTTAAAATGGCGGGGCTATAATATGACACCCTATCGTTAAAGATTACTGTACGTCAAAATCGTAGTAATGACAAGTGAGTGGTTGACGGGTGCTCGGATGTGGTTTTCCTCTTTCTTTCCTAAGTAACGTCTATCGTCCCCTATAATTTTAATATCTCCTCCTTTTTTCCTTTGTATGTTACTCTCTGGTTACACCTCTAATCTTCGGCACTTATATGACCTATTTTTGTTGCAAGTGCCGTGAAACTTGTACTAAAATAAAAACTAGTAATAACGATGTAAGAGTCAATAATGTATCATGATCTTGGGGGACAATGCTGCGTGGACACTGCCAGTTCTGTGCTGACATCAGCATAAATCTAGTGGTTGACAGCTAGTTGTCATTTTACAACGAAGTCGATGACTGGGCAGTGTTAGCCTACAAGGGCTATAACACTTTCAGAAGGCACTGTAGTTCTGATGATCTCGGGCGTTTTATTGTTTTTGGGTTTTTTTAAAGTTTGGGTTTAGAAAGAGTTTTTATAAAATCGTCATCTCTGTTAGAGTTAGAACTGAAGAATCACACATATTATATGCCCTCAATTACGCAAACTTAAAATTAATGCCCTCACAAATGCGTTTGCTATCTATCTATCTCTATCCATCTATCCATCCATCTATCCTTCTATCTATCTTTCTATCTATATTTCTATCTCTCTCTCTCTCTCTCTCTATCTATCTATCTCTCTATCTATCTATCTATCTATCTATCTATC